AGACAGGACTGGGGCTGCACTGGAGCCAGGACTGAGAAAGGGCAGGCGAGTGCCGCGCTTATCCCTCCTCCTGTCGCATGGGATGATGATGTCGAGCTGGTTCCCACCCTCGGCACTGGGTCACCCAGCGGGGAGGGGGGAGGAGAACAGGGTGTCCTCGCACCAGCCCGCCGGTCTGCAGTGGTTCTGGGGCGCCGTGTGCCCCGTCCTGCGTGTGTGAGGGGTCAGTGGCTGCGCCCCGCCCCGGGGCTTTTTAGTACACAGCCCGGTGCTGGCCAGGTACATAGGATCACTGTCCAAAGCCTGGCCTGCGAGCTCCCCAGGGCCCACTGGACCAGAGCAGCATCTTCATCTTGGCTTTATTTCCTTGTGTCTTTGTAATAGTCATAGGTGCTTTAGAAGAAAAGATGTAAAGGTCACCTGAAACCCCTTTAGGGAGACTAACTACAGGTGTATGCAGTTCTTAGCCTGTTCTCTGAGGAGGCAGAGGCAGTTCCTAGAGAACTCGGATTATTACACCAAAGAAGTAGCAATAACTTTGGAAGAACATGATTTTGAAATTCTTACCTCTGAAAATACACTTTTTGAGAAGCATTTGGTATTTAACAATTGAATTTGTATTAATGACAAGTCATATGTTATTTCTTAGCACTTTGTCTGAAAAGAAATAACCACTAACAGCAGCAAGATTGTCTCTTCCCCAGCCTGGCTATGCAGGAACAATGGAGGATTCTGATGAAGAAATCTTTGATGTAGCCATGTGAGTATGCTATGATCTGGGTCAGATTTTCCATAATCATATTACTACTTAAAAACTCTTCATAGAAATATAATTACACAAATTAATTTACACCCCACTGGTTTGCAGATTCTGTCTCTAGGAGAACAAGGGTGCAGAATGTACAGCTGCAGGAGGGAATATCATCAGTTCAGAGTTTAGGTGAAGTCAAACTAAATATAACTGCAATGAACATAGCACTGGGTTGTTCTGGCTGAGTGATCAAGATAAGCGCTGTAAGGCTGAACTTTTTGTGTGTATGTGTGTTCACTTTACAATTTCTCTCTCCTTTTCAAAAGCGTATGTTGTTTTATATCACAGATTCTAAGAAGAAACTATTTCTCTGTGTTTAAATATGCCCGTCTAGACATTTGAGACCATTTACAGCTGACCTCTGCTCTGGAGACAGGCTGAGAGAGCTGGGCTTGTTCAGCCTGGAGAAGAGAAGGTTCTGGGGAGACCTTAGAGCAGCTTTCAGTGCCTAAAGGGGCGACAAGAAACCTGGAGAGGGGCTTTGGACAAGGGCCTGTAGGGAGAGGACAAGGGGGAATGGCTTTGAACTGACAGAGGGGACTGAGATGGGATCTTAGGTAGTTCTTTCCTGTGAGGGTGCTGAGGCCCTAGCACAGGTTGCCCAGAGAAGCTGTGGCTGCCCCATCCCTGGCAGTTTTCAAGGCCAGGTTGGATGGCACTTGGCGCAACTTGATCTGGTGGAAGGTGCCCCTGCCTATGGCAGGGGGTTGGAACTGGATGAGGTTTAAGGTCCCTTCCAATCCAAAACAGTCAGGGATTCTGTGACCTCAACCAAATTTTACACTGCTAGATGCTAAGACACTGTTTTGCCCCAGATTTGGCTGGCATACTCTTTTCCTGAAGCTTGTGTCAGAGGGGCATGTGTGCCTGTGCCTCTCTTGCTCTAGTTCATAGCTTTTGTTCTTTCAGTGTACAGGCGGTCACAAATGGCCACGTGCTGGGGCTGCTTCAGCAGCCCACGTTGTGCCGGCCTAGTTGTGTACGCTGAGGCAACAGAGGCTTAAACCACAAGATTGGTGAGCATGTATTTCTTCAAGTATGCAGATGTACGTGTTGTGTAGAGAAATGGAATTGCTGCTGATTTGAAACAGATAAAATTCCATTATTTGCCTTACAAGGTTTAAATTAATACTTTAAATTTTCTGTTGCTGTTAAAATAAGCTCTGTAGCTAGTAGTAGCTTTTATTTGGATGGGGGAAAAGAGTGGAAATTCTCTATAACAAAGTCCTGTCCTTGCATGTAAGTTGGAAGGGATGAGCCCTGGTGCCTGAAGCCATAACTTGACGCTCAGGGTACGTTGTTTCGACTGTTCAGTGCAAGCTCCTCTACTGGTGGTGGTGTGCCCCCTGGTGGAAAAAGAGCCTTTTCCAGACCCTTGCCTTGGCTTTGCTCGTCTCCCAAGGCTTAACAGATCAGAAATGATGCTTCACTTGGTGATCAGACGCCTTTTTAAATCAAATAGTTTTTCGTTTTTCCTGGTCAGAATGAGCCCTATGGCTCATTATAGTTGGTTAAAATGTTGTTGAATTAATTTCACTGGAAGAGTAACTATAATGAGTTTTTTAAAACTTAGCCTGAAATACTGTTCTGCTCTATTTACTAAAGAGAAATTTGAAAGAGAAAGGCTTTTAATTTAATTTAAATGGTGCTTTCGTGATGAAAGCTATTTTTTTTCTTAAAGACAAATGTCCTATGAGTCTTGTTTCCCTCATGTGTGAAAAAAACCCTGTCTTTCATCTGGAGAATATAGGAAGCGTTCATCCCCCACTGAAGATGAGCTGTGAATGCTAAGGAGATCCTGTGAATTATTTACTGTGGTTGAACAAGCTGTGCAGTAATAGATTTAGCAGAGGGATCCAGAGTCCTGCAATGCTGGTACCAAAGGTTTCTTCCCTGGATTACTTCAGATCCATAATGGGGTTTAATTTTTAAGTTTGTTCACAGTAGAATGAGTTTAGGAGATTATGCTGTTTACTTGTAGTGTGTATAGATATTTCTTGCATAGGAAAAATATTTAAATTGCTTCTGTTTGTGATATTTGTGTATATATTGATTTCCACAAGATCAAGTATTTCAAAATATTCTCTAGAATGTCTAGAGTTCTGTGATCACCGTGTAGAGTTTACACAGGGAAGAGAGCTGAAGGAAAGCTTGTGGTAGCATCTGGGATTTGTGGGTTGGAAAATGCTTAATTTCTTTTGTTCTCCTCTCTTCTCACTCATTAAATCCTTTTGCACGAGAACTAGAATTACCTTGGCAGTAATGCCAGTAAAACAATGTGGGATTTTTTTCAATTAGGCACCTTAATGGAGGAAACAGAGTACAGGCCTGATGAGAATCCTATGAAGGAGTCTTATCATCAGTGCCATGGATTATTTTGTAGGTTGAAACCAGGATATTGTTCAGTAATCTTGTAATTACTGGGCTGAAATGTGCTTAGGCTTTTGTTAACACTTTTTAATTATAACTTTTATTTCTACTATGCTGGAAATACAGCTTTGTGCAGTATGGTCTTTATTTGCTTTCAGCACCTCCTTCTCTGATGCAGAGTTTGATGCAGTTGTTGGGAGTCTGGAGGATATCATAATGGGTAAGCTCTGCAAGTAGTTGTAGACAATGAGATGGGTGCCTCACATATTGCAAGCTGCTCTTCTGTTAGCAGGTATACAGAGCTAAAATAGCTCCTGCCTGCTTCATGGAGGCTTTCCTTCCTTTGTTCCTATGACCCCCGACTTGGTAGAATAGGAAAAATATACACAAAAGTCTTTTGTGTGTTGTTTGCACAACAGTACGCTTACGAATCTTGGAAATTATTCTCTGCACAACTGCAATATGCTGCTTCTTAAATAAGCAGTAAAGGTACTTGTAAATCTCACACAGAAATCAAAGCTTCCTGGGATTTTTATACCCTCTTCCAAAGGGCATAGCGGAGGCTGAGATGCAATGTTCCCATCCCCAGCTTCTCCTAAACCTCCCCTACCATGTCTGTTGGGATAGTCTTAGAAGCTGCCATGGTTAGTCCAGGCAGTTTGCTGTCATGCCTCGCTGTTGCTGCTGTAATCTGGAATATAAAGTGCCTGTGCTGCAGTTTAAACATGTTGTTCCTTGTTCTGTCTCTGCTGAACATGGGGAACAGTTTATTTTCTCTGTTTCTGCAGCACCGCTGCATAGCTGGAGATGGGTGTCATCATGTCCTGCCACTTTCCTCTTTTTGAGACTGTTCTTGGGAGTTGATAATGTTGCATGTAACTTGTATGCATGCATACAGTTATAAGGTAGCAGGACCTGTACACAGCAGGAACACGGAATGGTACCAATCTCATCATGTGAGCTTAGGCAATTGTAGGTGCTAAATTCTCAGGACCATCATGTTACCGGAGAAGTCAGCCTGCATGGAGGTAGCTTACAACATACCAAGACACAATTTGTGCCAATCAGCCACCAGCTGCTTCGTAAGAACAACGCGGTAGCTTTCTGACCACCTCCTTCCCAGAGAGAGGTAGATTCTGCAGCCTCAGTTGCCTGGTGATGTAGTTGAATCTGGAGAAACGCTAACAAACTGATTTTGAATGCATTAAGGTTTAGAAAGCTGAGACTGCTGTGTTTTAACACTGTGTTAAAGCAGTAAGCTCACTGCCCTGGACTTCAAGAGAGCAGACTTTGGCCTCTTCAGGAACCTGCTTGGTAAGGTTGCATGGGATAAAGTCCTAGAGGGCAGGGGAGCCCAGGACTGCTGGTTGATGTTCAAGGATCACCTGCTACAAGCTCAGGAGCTTTGTGTCCTGGCTAGAAGGAAACACAGCAGGAGGGCCAGGAGACCTCCATGGATGGATAAGGAGCTGCTGAGGAAACTCGGGGGGAAAAAAAAGCTTACAAAAAGGTGGAAGTGAGGACAGGCAGCCTGGGAGGAATACAGGGATATTGTCCAGGAAGCCAGGGACCAGGTTAGGAAAGCTAAGGCCCAGTTAGAATTATATCTGGCAAGGGGTGTGAAAGATAACAGGAAAGGCTTCTATAGGTACGTAGCAAATAGAAGACAGACTAGGGACAATGTGGGCCCTTTCCGGAAGCTGTTGGGAGAACTGGCTACCCTGGATTTGGAGAAGGCTGAGGTTCTTAATGACTTCTTTGCCTCAGTCTTCACTGGCAAATGCTCTGATCACACCACCCAGATCTTGGAAGGCAGATGCAGGGACTGTGAGAATGAAGACCTTAGGCCCACTGTAGGAGACAGTCAAGTTTGAGATCATCTTAAGAACCTGGATGTGCACACGTCCATGGGACCTGATGAAATCCATCCACGGGTCCTGAAGGAGCTGGCAAATGAAGTTGCTAAGCCACTGTCCATCATATTTGAAAACTCATGGCAGTCAGGTGAAGTTCCTGATGACCAGAACAAGGGTTATATAACCCCCATTTTCAAGAAGGGGAAAATGGAAGACCTAGGCAACTACAGACCAGTCAGTCTGACCTCTGTGCCTGGCAGAATCTTGGAGCAGATTCTCCTGGACAGCATGCTAAGACACATGAAAAACAACAAGGTGGTTGGTAACAGCTAACATGGCTTCACTAAGGGCAAATCTTGCTGACCAATTTGGTGGCCTTCTGTGATGGGGCTACAGAACTGATGAACAGCAGCAGAGCAGTTGACATCATCTACCTGGACTTGTGCAAAGCGTTTGACACTGTCCCGCACGACCTCCTTGTCTCTAAATTGGAGAGACATCAATTTGATGGATGGATCACTATAAAGAATTGGCTGGATGGCCACGCACAAGTAGTTGTGGTCAATGGCTCAATGTCCAGTTGGAGACCAGTAACGAGAGGTGTCCTTCAGGGATTGGTGTTGGAATGAATCTTGTTCAACATCTTTGTTATCAACAGGGACGGTGGGATTGAGTGCACCCTCAGCAAGTTTGCTGACGACACCAAGCTGTGTGGTTTGGTTGATAACGCTGGAGTGAAGGGATGTCATCCAGAGGGACCTGGTCAGGGCAATCCCAGGTGGGATTGCAGCAATCCCAGCTACAGGTTGGGTGGAGAAGAGAATCAAAGCAGCCCTGCAGAGAAGGACTTGGGGGTGTTGGTTGATGAGAAGCTGGACATGAGCAGGCAGTGTGTGCTTGCAGCCCAGAAAGCCAACCATATCCTAGACTGCATCAAAAGAAACATGATCAGCAGGTTGAAGGAGGTGATCCTGCCCCTCTACTCTGCTCTTGTGAGACCTCACTTAAAAGTATTGCGTGCGGTTCTGGTGTTCTCAACATAAAAAGGACATGGAGCTGTTGGAGCAAGTCCAGAGGCGGGCCATGAGGATGATAAGAGGGCTGGAGCACCTCCCGTATGAAGACAGGCTGGGAAAGTTGGGGCTGTTCAGCCTGGGGAGGGAAGGTGCG